CCGCCGCGGCGGGTGCCGCTGCCGCGGCCGCACCGGGCGCCACGGCGCCCTCTGCGGTGGCGCGGGCGGCGCAGGCGGCAGCGGAGGCGGCGGGAGGCTCAGCTCAGGAGGCGTTTCAGCAGGCCAGCGAGGCAGTGACCCGGGCGGAGGTGCAGAGGGGGAAGAGCTCAAGAGAGGTGGGGATGGCGGCGAGAAGCTTGGTTTGCACTTGGAGTTTGTTGAGGGTTTTGGATGTGTTGGAAGTTGGGTTTCGAGGAAGGTATGGTTGGTTTGTGCCTGTTAAGCACACTGGTGCATGCCTGTGCTAGACTCATCGGCGTTACTGTGAGTGGCCGCGAATGAAACCGTCAAGTCTTTCTTTCTTCCTCCCCCAATATATTCCAGTTATATATACCAACTGTATATTATTATAGGTATGACATGGTATAGCCAGTGGTTTCAAACACTTAAGCAGTACACCTCTAAAACCTGCTTGCTGTGGTCACAGGATCCACCCTCCGCCTCCATAAGGACAAGCCGTGGCAGATTTCTCAGACCCGCTGCATGCGAAGTCTCTGGCTTTGAGAGCAGCGATCCAAGCAGTGGTGAGGAGGAACGCCTTGCACCACGACTCCCCCAACCTCATGGCGCGGGAAGCACATTTAGCCGCCCATGCGGTGGGATTGCCATATGATCACTTGCAGCACGGCCGGAAGAAGCGAGCCACAGAACTACGGTTTTTCTCTTTCCACCTGTGCGCAAGCTCTGTACAGGTTTGCAGTTGTTTGATGTTTTGTGAAGCTAAACGACGGTAGGGCAGCAGAGTTGGCACCTCCCGGGGGAGATCATTTGCCAGGACGGTGTGACAGGTGCAGGTTTTTGGCTAAGAAGCATTGGAGACCTGACTCGTGAAGGGACCATCAACATACTCAAAGAAAACCATGAATCCAGATTCAAATCCACCACGCCATGTGTTTTTGTTGTTTAATTTGTTTGATATGTTTTTGTTTGCAGTCCTAACTTGTACCTCTTCTTTTTGGGATGCTATAGCTACCAGGGAATCCAAATGTGCATGTTTTTTTGTTCAAACACGTTCGCACAAAAAATCCGTGCATCCGGCCTTTTTTGTCAAATGGACAAATTTTCTGCAATTCCTCCGAATATTGGGTTTGATTTGGTTTTATCAATATAACTGTTTGGGCTTTTGTCGATAAAATGTTGATAAAGTTTGGGTTTCATATGGGTACGCTGCAGGTAGTATTACTGCAGATGAACGCAGCGAGACGATGAGGATCTCTCCACCTCGTCCATCTCGTTCCTTCCACCACCCTCCACCGCCGGGTCGAGGAAGATTTGTGAGATCGCCGTGGAGGCGCTGGCCGAGCGCCTGGCCGCGGAGGGCGCCACGGCGCACGACCTGGGCGTGGCCACAAAGGACCTGGCGCTCTCCTTGGTGCCCATGGCAGAACGAGTCGGGAACTGTGTTTCTTGCGCGCGCCAACCGGGAGGAAGGTGGGCTGCGCGGTGCGGATGGGGAGGAGGGTCGGAAGGTCTGGAAGGGACGTGGTTCAAGACTGTTTCGCGCAGAAGGGTTCGGAATAGGATGAGAGAAGTGAGCGCCACTGAGAAGAGTGGGGAACCTTTCGAAGGTTTTTGACTGCGATGCTGCCCCCCGAAGGTAAGCCCGATGTCGTTGCACCTGAAGAGATGAACAGTGAATGACCATCATGTGGTGTGGTTTAGGGTTGCAGTAGGCAGTGGCGGATATATCATCAGCTGGCGCCTGCTGGCGTTGTTGTTGTTGTTGTTGCTGCTGCGTCAAGGGTCAACCACCAAAGGACAGGAACCCAGGCCCGGTGACGGGTTTATCGCACTTGACCCAATCGATGTGTCCCGTTTCGGCGGCGGAGACTTCTCCAAGAGGCTCAACTTCCATGACCAGGAGGTCGGTGTGCACTTGAGGGAGGCCCCCTGGCCCAAGGGGCTTTGGTGTATTGTTCGAATACGTCTATCCTTTAGCCGAGGCGATCAGCCCACCTGGAGGCTTGAACTCGACCACTCAGGAGCACAGAGGGGGAAGAAGCCGCCCTGGCCTGGTCAGAGGGGATTGAAGAAGTCCCGCTGGCCTCCAAATATGAAGGATTCACTACCAAACACATACTCACCAGATGGGGTAGCGCGTCCAGATCAGCAGGGTTTAGATCAGAGGGGGTTTGTATTTTGGTATGGGTACGAGGGGCGTATGATACGGTTCCGATAGGCTCCTCCGAGCGCAAGAACATATGTTCAAACATGCACCATAATTTAAGGATATTTAAGGAGACCTGGATCAATTCCCCCGTTATATGCAAGAGGAGTTATAAATAGCCCAGCCTATATAGTTTGTTGCTGCCAGCCCTCCAATCTTTGACGTTTTGGACATGTTGACAAAGACTGACAAACTGGCCGTCGTAGAAGATCTTGTCATGTTGATGAGCCGCTAGTTTTTGCTCGGGAACTATAGGTTCAGAGTGAGTTCGCATGGATCTGTTCCTATATATATATATAACTCGGGAACTATCCATTCCATAAATAATTCTTCCGGAATTGACCTCTCTTCCCATCAGCTGTGACCGCCCTGCTGGAAAACTGGGACTCTTTTGTCTCCTGAAAAGTCCCTCTTCACTTGTGCAAGGCGGCAGGTACTAGGGCACATGTTACAACAAGTTCACTGGAGTTCTGAGATGTTTAGACTCTATAGACCTATATAGAAGAAAGTCAGTGGTGCGGTGTGCGAGACCCATCTTGGCCTGGAAGGGTGTGTGTGCTTGGGTGAAAAGCAGCAGTTCCTCCACAGGAGCTTCTCTCCCTTCAATCCGCGATGTTCTTGGCCTCAAAGGCAGCAGCGCGAGCTGCCTTAAGACACCCAGCAGTTAGCAGGTTTGGAAGGTTCGAGTCGTTGTTTTTGCGTTTCGCTGCGACAAAGCAGCGGTGGGTGCTGCTTTGTCGAGTTTGTTCATGCGGATTCGACATGAACAGGTTTCGCTTCAAGCGGATGAGCCGCCGTGGCCGCTGTTCCCATGCGTTCCCTTTGGGGAACCTCCCATGACCTGCAACAGTCGGTAAACAACAACACTGTTCTAGAGAGGGCTGTAACTGAACCATCATATACTCAACTGCTAGCTGTTTTCGGGAGTTTGCTGAACCTCCCGGCTGAGTTTGGCAGAAGTTTTCAAGCAAGTGGAATGTCGGGGCCTTTTAAAGTGATTGGTGGGCTAGGTGCCAAGAAAAGCTGACAGGCCTCGATATCTATACCAGGACCTGTCGGGATGGTTGATCGAGACACCCCTTCACCTTGTTTCGGGGCATCAAAATGGACACCCTGACACGAGCTGCTTTTTGCTAAACAGTTTTGACAAGATCTTGATTGTGCCATGAGTTGTCCAGCTTTGGCCAAGGACATCAGATGAAGGAGAAAGACACAACCTCTCCTTCGTTGATCCCCGGCATGCGGCTGGGCATTGTGATTGGTCAAGGTCTTAAGTTGGGTTTCTCCATGTGTATCACAGATACTACAAACCATCATCATCCACCGTTGCTAGTAGTATAGACCCAAGTCTTATGTTTCTTGCTCCAGTATAGCATGTCTTTTGCTCATCTGTCGCGAACACGCGCGACTCGTTTCCTCGTCTCGCTTCGACCTGATGGCAGCGACATGAACAGGATGGACATACGGATGGACCTAAGCAACCACGCAACCAAGCAGGATGTTGAAGATTGGAGCCACCCAGCAAACCCAAGACCGGTGGCTCGAAGACGAAGACCTTGTGGCCTACCCAGGCTACAGCAAGCCATCTTCCAAGCGAAGCAGGCAGCGCGAGCGACTGGCCACCCATTGGGGGAGAGAGAAATGGCGCACTTGGTGGGAAAGACGGTCGCTTGGCTGCAATTATGAAGCTTTGCTATTATTGGTTTGGAGTGAACCTCTTTGGCCCAGTATGGGTATGCCGGCATGCCCTAAGTTTTTGCCTGGACATGTTCGGGAAGGCAGGTTTCATTCAGGTTTTCTCTCCCACGGAGATGGGGTGTCCACACCCTTCATCGGAGACAAAGGACCTTTGAAACCACACTTGCCCAAAAATCGAGACGTACTTTTGTCAAGGTCTATCATGTTAAGAACGTTAAAGACTTCCCCCTCCTTTCCGGGCGGGCCAAGGCGGGGCCCCTGCGAAAACGACCAAGGTCATAGCCTTGAGCCTCGAGAAGGGCGACCCTGGGCGAAGCGAATCCGCGGGAGCTTGCGAGCGCGCTTGCGCCAAGAAGAAATGAGAAATGCTTCACTGGATTTGTAAGGGTTGATCTGTGGGATGTGTTTTTACTTGTCTACTTTATTCTGGAGGCGGCACTTCGCCGGAAGTTTGGGACCCAATGACACGAGGCTTCTTGGCGAGTGGCTCTTCTTGTAAGAACCCCCGCAAGGATTGTTCAGGCCTAGTGCTCCAGCCAACCACATCCTCAGATTGGACGTGCCAAGCCCACCCCAACCATCTTCATCGGAGCCCTGGGGCAAGCTTGCTGTCAAAAAGCGCAAGGCGGTTTCGGAGGCTTAAGGCTTACTGTAAGTCAAAGATTCCTTACATGGGGGAAGCCTTTCAGTCCCAATCGCTACTAGCTCCAATGGATCTTGGAGGCCCGTTCGGGGAGCGTTGCAAGGGTTTTTCTCAGCGGCCGGGCTGCGTGCCTCCTCCCAGATACACGAAGGCCAGAGGAACCACTCCCACAATGGTCGGTTGAAGACTTGCGGATGGACTGTGGCTGCCGCAAGCAACAGCACATGCGGCTGGAATGGTCTTTTTCCATTTGGAGCTAAGGAAACCTACACGCTTCCGCAGATCTTGAAGACAGCGACTTGTTTGAACTTTGCTTTGCTGGATGGTTTTGGTTCCACGTTAAGGTATTTGTACATTGTAGGCGATGGGGTGGCACGAAAACCGTGCAAGTCTTGAGCCGTTGAGCTTTTTTTGCCCCCTTCTTGCTTTGCGCAGCCCCTTTTGAAGGTTCGGTTTTACCTGGCCTGGCCAGACAAAAAAACATAATAAACTATCAACCAACCAAACTAAAGCAGAATCTTCCAAACCTAGACTTAAACGGTGTTCAGTTGATACTCCAAACATGATGTCAATGTACTTCTCCAAAGCATCCAGGACAAACTCTAGGTTTTGTTTCACCCACCCTGTCGGTCAGCAAGATGAGATCAACTCCGCCTGTGACGTGGCCGAGGCCATTGATGCCTTGAATCCGAGCCCCGAAGAGACCCGAGCAGCGGCAGCGGCTGCTGCGAAGGAGGTTGCTAGGGCTGAAGCCTTGGATGGACACCTTGGCTGAGGAAGTGATCGACATAGAGCCCACAAGGGGCGTTGAATAGATACCCCCTCTAAGGGGCTATCAGTTGACTCCCCTTACGGGTTCCTTGTACCTTTATGTTGGTGGGCAGATTCCTTTATGCCCTTTCAAGGGCCATTAGGTAGACCAGCTCAAAGATGGCATGCGATATGGATTCATCACTGGTTGGTAGAAGATTTGTTTCAAGTGTCGAGTCCATGTAGTCAGATATTGTTTCCCAGCCATGGATGCAATCCAAGGAGAAAATCCGGCGTTGATCCGCAAGAAGTGCTTGGAAGTCCTACGGGATTTGCCACAGGGAGTCATTGGCCCCGTGAAGGACACCAGGGACGTTAACATCTTCGCTTGCTGGAGTCGATGGGCATTTGGAGACGTTGCTCCGCACAGCGGTTTGGAGAGCATGAATTGTTCTAATTTGCTTTGCAAGTGAAACCGTTCTA